TGTCTGACTGGGCAGGAAAATCTGCTCTGAAGATCAAAACAAACATCCCAAAATGCCTAAGCACAGTCATGATGATTGGGACCTAGGATGCCCTAGCAGGATCCCCTCCCCAGTGGTGACTACAAGTTAATATCCAGGGGAAAGGATATGGTAATATCTAGGAGAAGGGATAAACTTTTCCCCAAACCACTCCTGCAACTTCATTCAGCAGTCAATTGCCTATCCCACCAAGGGATGTTTGCTTTCAGTACCTCCCACTGATTTTCCAAATAAATACTTTCTTTCACAGAGTATGAGAAATCACCACAGACGTTTTCGTTCAGAAATTATCTGTTATTTTCAAGAACTGGAATTTCTTTTTCCACTACATGAGACAGGATATTGCCAAACAGAATCTGGCTCACACTCACAAAACTGTTAATTATGTATGTAAGTAAACAGTCAAAAAACAAATGTAGCTATTAGAATTCTTAAGAAAGGAAAACCTATTCAGATAGGTGTCTAAAAAGTGGACATACTAAGTATTAAATTTGAGAATACGGAACTTATGGTAGGTATTAGACAGCATTAATATGAATTACTTGAAAATTGTGGCTTTTTTTTTTTACAGAATCACAGAACCTAAGGTTGTAGGGGAGCTATGGAGATCATCTAGTCCAGCCCCTCTGCTCCAGCAGGGATCCCCAGAGCATGGGGCACAGTAAAGAAACTCTTCCTCACATGGGGATGGAACTTTCTGTGTTTTAATTCCTACCCATTACCCCTTGTCCTATCACTGACTACTACTGAGAAGAGTTTGGCCCCTTCCGCCCTATATTCATCTCTCAGGTACTTATACAAATTGATCAAATCTCCTCTGAATCTTCTCTTCCCCAGGCTAAACAGGCCCAACTCACTCAGTCTTTCCTCATATAAGTGCACCAGTCTCTTGACCATTTTTGTTGTTCTCCCCTGGACCCTCTCGAGAAGCTCCACGTCCCTCTTGTCCTGGGGAGTCCAGAACTGAACACCAGTACTCCAGGTGCGGCCTCACCAGAGCTGAGGAGAGGGGCAGAATCACCTCCCTTGACCTGCTGGCAACACTCCTCCTGATGCAGGCCAGGATCCCATTGGCCTTCTTGGTCACGAGGGCACACTGCTGACTCATGGTTAACTTGGTGTCAACCAAGACTCCCAGGTCCCTCTCCGTGGAGGTGCTTTCCAGCAGGTCAACCCCTAATCTGTACTGATGCCTGGGGTTATTCCTGCCCAGGAGGAGGACCCTGCACTTGTCCTTGTTGAACCTCATGAGGTTCCTCTCTGCCCAACTCTCCAGCCTGTCCAGGTCCCTCTGGATGGCAGCACAGCCCTCCGCAGTGTCGGCCACTCCACCCAGCTCGGTGTCATCCGCAAACTTGCTCAGGGTGCACTCCGTGCCCTCGTCCAGGTCATTGATRAACAAGTTGAACAGCACTGGGCCCAGCACTGACCCCTGGGGGACACCACTGGCCACAGGCCTCCAACTGGACTCGGCCCCATTTATCACCTTTTAAATTCACCTTCTTAATAGAACACTTTCAGTAAGAAGCAGAGGGTTTTTTTTTTTTATTACAGTCTTCTTCATAACAAGATTTTTATTTCTCTCAGAATAAATTCTGCACTAAAGAACGGGGCTGAAAAACAATGGTGACCATGTTACAGCCATTCCTATTCCTCTTCTGGTTATCATCTCTTTCGCCTATTGCTGTTTCTCACTTGATGACTCTCTTATTTGCTTGAACTTAGCAGCTAGTATCAGGAAAGATTTGCTTTCAAAGCCTGAATAAATCTAAAGGTGTAAAACCGATAGCTCATAAAAAGTGATGAAATACATGTAATAAATGGTACGACAGCCTGGAGGAGATTTCCAGTGTCAAAGATTATGTACCACCATGCCTGCATTTTTCACCTAATTTAGATGCAAAAATATCTGACATGGCACATGAAAGTATACACTCCTAGCAATAAAATCACTCTACCACGACATTTTCTGAACTGAAGAAGAAATCACTGATGCATTTTTTTTCAGGTTCACAACATAGTACTAGAAGGCATATTAAACAGTCACCACCACAAAAGAGGTAAAGGAACAGCACAGTGAAGTTGGTGCCTGTTCARACTTGCCTTTTTTCTCCATACAAGAAAAAAAAAAAGTGTTTCTAGCTTCTCATCACACACAAGCCCATAGCAGTTATTTTTTAATAGGGCTTACGTAGTACCATTTCTCAAAATCATTTTCTTTCAAAGTTTTGCAAGAGCTAAATAAAATAAAAATGCCCTTTACATAAAGATGAATGCTCCCTTTACTATATCTTTTTCTATTCCTCTTTTGTTATTTCAGCATGAATTCCTGCTCCCCCAAAAATAAATTAGCATAAAAACAACTTTTCAGAAAACAATGCACACATTTGGATTCAGGTGGAATATTCAATTTTTTTGTCTGTCCTGGGCATAAGTCTCTACTTTTTAGAACTGTTTTAACCAGTATTGAGAAAGTGCTGGGAAAATATTCCAAAATGCCAACAAGTCATTTTTGCTGTGTATCTTGCTACTACTACTATTCTATCAATTCTAAATTTTATATATATATGTATATGTATAGCAAACCTCTATAACTGATTCTCAGACATCTGTAAAAAGGAGGTGCTTATTGCTTTCTTGAGATAAAGGATTAGCTAAAATAGCTAGATTCAGATGGACATCTTTCTTTCATGAACCAAGCATTAGAAGAGAATGAAATCTGAAAAACAAAATGCACATACATAAACATGGCTTATTTTATGAGGTTTATACCATACACCATAGCAAAGTTTAAAGTTTCAGAAAATTATCTGGACATGACTGTGTGTGAGACTTAGCTTTTCTGTAGTGGACATATTCCCAACATGCCTAATCTTTAGCTCTAGAATTGTTCCTACTGATAGTAAAGACTTCACAGGTGCAGAATTGCTTCGCCTAATCAAATCAGTAGAGTGATCTAGACTTTGTGGTATCTAAAGACTGTGAAATCTTCTTACATGGTAACTGTCTTTTTGTCTGTTTTTAGACTTTCTGCAATGCTACAAGGTATAAAAAAGCCACAATACACACCACATCCATTCACAGGATAATACAAGTTTCCCATGTGAACAGTGAAGAAACAACTTCTGATGGATAAAGGAAGAGCTAGAGGTACTGGGAAGAGCTGAAGTGGGCAAGAGGGTGCATCCAAAGAGTTTATGGCCATCTACTAACCATCACACATTGCCTCATTACAAAACCAACTTCTGAATCAGGCTTTGGGAAAGACATGTATGCACATCCACTAGCATTCCCCATGTTCTTCCTCTCACAGTTTCTCCCTTTGTCTTCCCCACTACATCTCCTATCCAGTTGTCACTCCACAAACCTCACTGTCTTCCCTTTCTCTGGTTACTCAGGCCCAAGATCAAACCAGCAGAGTTTATAAAAAAAAAAAAAAAAAAAAAAAAAAAAAAAAATCCTAATGTCAGCCCTTCAACTGAGCTCTCTATTCTCCTTCCAACTAAACAGCACACTAATTCATGCACATGATTGCTGAGAAGGCCAAGGAGAAAGATGGAAATGCTGACAACCAAGAGTGAAGTGGTCAGGAACTGCAGATCAAATCCAATTTGTTCCAGTGTCAATACATCAGTTGATGTTCTCTTCATGCACTTGTCCTGCCATCTTCAACATATATCAGACCTACTGTTCTCTAGGGCGGTTTTAGATATCTCCTATCATAGATCCCTTGCTTCTACGCGTATCGTTTTGCCAAGAATAGAAATGAGGCTCTGCCTGTACTTAAATAGACATAGAAAAGTTCCTTCAACGCTCATTATGTGAGTAGTCTTCCTCACTTTGCTGCTGATAGCAGAGCCTCAAAGTCAGAAGCTATGACTAACCCCACTGGCATTACCCATTGGGTGATCTTAGAGGTCACCCAGTGAATATGTGTATGCATTACTACTGCCCTGACTCAGCAAAGCACTCAAATATGCTGTTAATTTTCAACATGTTCTAAAACGCCACTGGGGCAAGCCTGGGCGCTTTGCTGAATAAGGATGGACTTATTAAATGTTCAAAGGGAAACAGTGAAGAAAAAGAGGAAAGTAATGAGAAGCAACCCACATGGAATTAAACAAGAAATCTTTGCCTCCTTTTCCTGGGCTTTCACCACGAAGTTGACTCAAGCTTTTCTTGGTATTTCAAAACATCTAATTCTTTTCTATCCATTCAATCCTTTGTCCACATACACTGAGTTCTGAAAGGAAGCTACCAAAAATCTTTGAAAACAGTGCTCTTGTTTCCAGCATGACTAGAATCAACAAGAACTCAAAACTCACTGCTCTGGTCTGAGCTTGCAGACACTAGAGCAGACAGTCAGGTAAATCTCTGATCAATAAGAACCTACTCAAACAGGACTAGCCTCCAAACCTTGTGAGGGTGGTGCACCATACTTTTCTCTGACACAACAGTTCCCTAAAATTAATTGCAATCCTATGGTTAACACGTGCTGCGTGGGTTTTATGACTTGTCCAACCTAAGAACCCTAATAACTATTAATAGATTCCTCCTTCCATCAACAAGCAGCTGGTAGCCACCAACAGGAAGCTATGYTCAAGTCCAGGAAGGAGTATTTTCAGCTGTACTCACAAAATCCTGGCTCCATTGAACACAAAGTGACTGGTTTGCTGAGCTGAGAGGTTAGATTAGCAAAGTAAAGGCGGTCTACACCATTTATAAGGAATCCAAAGACAAACGGGTGATTCTGAGCAACTACAGTTTAAGACAAAGTGCCTAGTAATTATCAAATAATAAATCATCATAGTGGAAAGCAACATAATGTTTGTTTCGGTATTTCCTCTTTTGCAGTCATTAAGAGAGGCAAATAAGACTGCATCCGGTAAAACCAATACAAATACATGATACAGGAAAAGAAATGCCACTGCTGAACAGCAATAGAAGAAAATGAGTCTTACCTTTACCTGTGCCTGGGGAGAAGGTATTTCCAAAATCTTGCAGTTTGGGCTTTAAAGTCAGTGGGGCTGGCAGTCCTGGGGGCTGTGGGACTTGGAAGAGAGGCTTCCCGTTTGCGACCGCGTGTCTCCTGGGACTTAGCGCAGGAAGGGGGATCGTGCTGCCAACGGCGCTGCTCGGAGGAGTGACCCCTTCTCCAAGGGGCATCTTCAGGTGTCGGCTGGCGGGTGAGTTCCCATTAGCTGACCTCAGGGTGCTGCTGTGTGGAGGTGGGCAGGGTGYTCCTGCAGTAACTCTCACCGGTGAGATCTGCTGTCCACTGATGGCCCCAGCTCCATAGGGAAGACCTGTTGTCTGGCAGCTCATGCTACAGGGCCTCCCATTCATTGTCAGGTGCTTGCAACAATCAGTGTGTGTTTTACCGACCCACAGCTACGACTGATATTAATCCGAAGCCAGAAAGTAATCCATTGTGCATTAAGCCTGTTTGAAAAGAATACATCAATAAAAAGAATTGACATGTGAATAAATGACACATAAAGGAGAGSACTGCACAGTGTTTAACTTTGTGACATCTCTGATTATAGGCAGCAAAGCACGTGTGCTATATGGCCAGAGGAGACAAGGGTAAGCAGTGACTTTGAGTGCTAATAAGGTGGAAACCATCCTCTTCAAAAGCTGAAGTCTACAATAAGGGTGTTGTTGTCTGCCTTCRTGGTTAAACCAGCTATGAAATCAAGTGAAAGTTGAGCAAGTGAAAACTGGCAGCCAGGAGCGAAGAGAGCCTCTGATAGGCAGTTGTTACTGGGATGACCACTGCTACCTCTCACTTCTGGTCATCTCCTTAGCCTAATAATTAACGTGTTGCTGGGGAGCAAACACAGCAAGCAACCGATATACTTGGAGGAATATCATAGGAAAGGGATGCTAGCTCAGTGCTGAAGGATGCAAGTGCATCAAAAAACCATGGAGAAGTCTCTGTGCTCTATCAAACTCCATGGCTATCAATGTGGAGAAGCATTGCAACCAAGCACAGCACAGCAGGACTCGCAAACCTGACYACCACCACTGCAAAGGTGGATGCTCATTGAAAACCTGTAGAYATATCCAAATTTAAATGAAATTCTACCATGGCAAGTTTTCAAAGACAGCTTTCAAATTATGCCAATACCTTTACAACTCTGATTTTTCTCAGAGCCATTTTTTTTTCTGAGCTGTTTTCCTGTTATTAAAATCTTAGAAGACTAGTGAAGGGTTTGAGAGATCACCTTGCCCAGGACCTACTCCCAATCCACACTATATCTAAGCATTTCCTGAGATGCATAAGATTGGCAGACAAAAGCTGCTCTTTTCAGTATAAATCATTGGGCTAAGGTGTAGCACAGATGGGCTCATTTCAGCCCTAACTCAGCTGAATATCACACATTCGACTTTTACCACTAGGCTCACATGTTTAGCATGAGGCATATGCTTAAACAGTTTGCTCAATCATGGATACAGTGCTAATTAACTTGCTCAGACAAACAGACTAAGCTGACACAAATAAAACTGAAGTTCCACTTACGTTATGGATCCATGTATTCTGTAAGGCCTTAATTAAGTATGGTGATCTTGCTTCAGCAAAACAGGTAAGCATAAACTTCACCTTTGCTACATGACATTTTTCAGCATTGAAACCAATGGGTTTATGACCAGTCAATTCATGGTTGAAGTTTGTGTAAGACCTTCATGCTTAACCCTTGGTTAAGCAAGGAGATTCTGCAGGGTCTCAGCTCTCTCCCTCCTTGATCTGTCAAAATAACCCAAAAACCTGAAACAAAACTAGATTCACAACACACCCCCTGATGAGAGGAAAAGCCACTATCTGCGACAAGYTTCAGTGTCTATATAGAGATAAATGCATAGATTATCACACATGCACTACAGTTTGCTTTCACTAATAATCAAAGGGCTAACCATACTATCCTCAAAGACAAAACCAAAATCCCTACTGACATTAGTGAGCAAGAGTTGCCCTGACCACATGCAAATAGTCATAAAAGATTTATTCTAAATGCTGTTTTTCAATGTTACATTTTTATATATGGGAATAAAAATTGGAAAGCATGCCAGTTAAAAGCTATTTATTGTTTATTTCCATGCCTGGCTGAAATATAAATCACTCTTTGTAATTCAACCAAGGACAGGCAGAGCTGAATGTTCTTCAATTCCCAGGGTTTGTTTGAAAAGCAGAATGTTCCTTGCCCTAGCACAGGTGACTAGCTCYTTAGAAAAGGACATATAAACAAAGGCAGTTATTTTGCTGGCAAAGCTATATGCCATGGCAGTACAAAGAGGTTACAAGTAAAAATCCTTCTTGTGTATAACTTCTGATTGTAATTTTTTGCCACAGTGAAAAGTGCAAGCATCATCAAGAAGAGATTATGCATGACAAAAGCTTTAGCCATATTCAAATAAAACACTTGAGTTTAATCAACAGAAGAATATCCCTACACAGYTTACACAGACCTACCAGCCCTACAAAATCCACATTAATATTCAACTGTGTAGTCAATAGGTTTGGTCTCCTTGTTGTTCTTTTCCTGTAATGTTATATATTACTGTGAGTAAGTGTCCTATGTTATCTTTGCCGTGCTTTTAACATTGACAACTGCTGGTTTCTTAGACTTGAAGGTTTCCAGGGCCACAGTTTCTTTTCCTATGTTAGTATGCAGTTACGTTGAGCCTGATGACCTAAAAATATCCACAGAATGGCCTTTATTCTTTTTGAGAAAAGCAGAAACAAGATAAATAATTTCTCTGAGGTTTCTCCATCAACTGTCCTCATTCTATCACAGACACCTATAACATTACATTAGCATGTAAAACAAGCTCTTCCTTTCTTTATGTTCATCCACAGAACACCTTGGAGAGCATTACTCTTCCACATTTTAGAATTATTACTTTCTGTCATTCGTAATACTACTTATGTGTTCATGGGTGCCTTTTCACTGATCAATGTAAGCTGATGCTAAGCAAACTGATGTCAAGGCATTCTTGTATCAATGTTAGAGTGACCAAGCAGTTTCAAACCAAATAAACAGGAGTGCCTAGCAGTGCACGAAGTCATACACACCTAGTTAAATGCCAATGGCTTGTTCAACAACTGTGTCAAAAGGACACAGTTACATGCTGGCTAGTTGGAACAGACTTTTGCATCAAATTCATAAATGGTTACTGCTTCTAGTAGTCTTTAACAATAAAAAATCCATTTCTAAACATAGAAATCTTGGAAAACTAGGTCAATGGCACCAAGCACAGCAGCTGTTTACATGATGCTAAGAAATCATGAGGAGAGTTGAAAAACAGATACATGCATATAGATCTACAATGTATAGGTACAATAGATACAATATACAAATTAAAAACACAGAAGTGAGAGAGAAAACAATTATATCCTGACAAGCAAAATTTTGTTTTTCTACCACAGAAACATAAGCACTTGCTACCTCTTGGGTGAAATATTTCTCTTCATCAATGAGACATCCAGTTCCTTTCCTGCTTCATATCCTGCTTCCGATGTCAAAGGAAACACACTAGACCCGCTGCTTCGGAAGTTTCTGCTTGTAAGCTGACTTAACTGCACAGCTCCGTGACTCCACATCTATCAATAACTGCATGACAACACAGCAGCCTAAGATCCGTTACTATGATTCATAAAGTCACCCTCAGAGAACCATGTAGCAAAATCTAAATTCAAGCTGGAGCCCTGGAAAATGTGAACGCTGTTCCTCCAGAAGGCAGAACAACAGCAGGATTCACAAGTGTCGGTGCCTGCAGCACAGCAYGCCAGGCAACAGCTCTGAAAAGCAGTCAGCCCTGGCTTGTGCCCTTCCCCATAGAAGTCTGAGGTGGACACAGTTTTCTACCTCAAAACAAGGTAAGTCAATGCAAAGCACAGTRTTTCTGCAACATCTACCACTTGCTGCCACTTAACACCACGTGGCAACAAGCAGGGCACACAACAGAGAGGACTGAAAGATAACAGGTCCCCATGTCTCCCTCTCCCTTGGGAGACACTTACCTCCACCATGCATGTGGGATGTGACCTTGAGCCTTCGCCCCTTCCCAGCAGGATGGTGCAGCCTTTCCCTGGCCACCCTCCCGGCCAGCTCCGTGACACAAGGTGGGAAATGAGGGTTTCCCCCACAAGAGGCACCTCCCTGGTGCCTCCTGCAGCTCCCAGCCACTGGAGACAGGAGGCACGCGGGTCCTGGTGAAATACTCGGCAGCCACTGCCTCCCCTGACATCATCCCCCCAGTGAGTCAGCCTGGGCGGATGCCAGGCTTTGGATGGAGACAGAGGGAAGGGCCGACACCAAAAGCGATGGGCACAGGCGTCTCACCTACACCTTCCTCCCGGAGAGCATCTGCAGAAACAGGGCCCCAGCAGCTCCCACGGCTTGTCTTGCAGATGTCTGAGACACAGACACAGCCCAACGCAGCTCTAAGCTGCTGATGAATCAGCCTGCTTTTTTGATTAAAAAATGTACACATACCTACGTAGTGCTGGTATGACACCTTTTGTGCAGTTATCAGCTATAGTTTTAGGATGCAGCTGGGTAGGCTTGTTACCAGCAATAAGTTCTTGTTGGAAAAGAAACCCACAGAGATTAAACTGTGGAAACATTAAATAAGGAGCCAGAAAATAGGCTTGTAAAAATAAGCAAATGAAGAATTAAGGCTGCAAGAAAGGAAGACTATGTGGCTTCCAAAACAAAACAGTAAACTTGCCATTCAGTTTACAGAGACTTTCCTCCCCACCCTGCACACCAGCCCACATCACACAAGTCATGCACTACCGAGAACAGTGCAGACTCTACGTGAGCATCCCCCCTTTCACCCAGTTGCTCACTCTCTGTGACAACGGCACTTTCGGGCTATCTCAGGGGGCATGACTCCAACTGCAGCACCCTTTCTGTATCACCCATTTCCTAGGCACAAGATGCCAGTTAAAGAAAATACGAAAAGTATCATACAGTCGGTGGCTTTGCAGGTCTCCGAGGGTCGCAGAAAGGAGTGTTCATGAAGCAGGAACAGGCAGGGGAGGTGAGAGCTGAAACAGGTCTGCACTCTGAGACAACCTGATAGAGTCTCCGACCTGACAGAGCTCCTCAGCACGAGCGTAGTAAAATAGACTAATTGCTACTTGCATCACCATAATTCCTGGGAAGATTAGTCACGGAAAGGAATGCCTTTGTGCGAGGGACTGCACAAACACGGAGCACGGCACAGCGGCTGATAAGGCGGCCACTGCCACCAGAGGGGCGCCCCGCTCCGCGCTGGGTGATGCGCAGGACAGCGCGATTCCCATTGCTCCAGAACGGCGGGATTCCCATCGCTCTGGG